TCGTTTACACCAACTTCTGTCGTGGCATCGCTATGACGTCACGCTCCTCTAAATCTATTATCGTTCTATGTATGCATAAGGTTTAACTCTCTAAGTTCTGATATGGAAGAGGGGCGTGACGTCATGTGCTATTTGCCGTCGCATGACAACGAGCATATTTTTTTTTCATAATATATCATAGTATATTAAACACTACTAGAAAACTTAGTAAAAATAAATGGTTTGATTTTTGTTTACTGTGTACCCCCACACATATTTTACTGTGTATATTTTCTAGTATATTTCTAGTATTAGATTGCTAGCAGTTCTATTTTAAATCAGATCCGACATATGCGTGCACTTACTGACAGAAGTGGAAAAGATTTCCATTTCAATATCTGTTAACGTCAGTTGCTTGAGGTCAGGAAGAAAAGTGAACTTACAAATTGTAAAGGAAAACAAAATAAGCTTTATCTTCCTGCATGATAATGACAGACCCCAACACTGCGAAATCAACTAAATAAAAATATTGTAATTAAGATTGGACTGTTCCTACTGAATTTTCCGCGTATTCTATAGATTTATGGCTAACTGAATGTGAATTGTTTTGTTCTTTAGCTAGCCATTTACGCGAAAAAGAGATCGATTGTGAAGTAATATTTACGGGATAAAAGTAAAGTAAAGTTCTTTGGATTTCTTACTGAAGTCCAAAGAACTTTACAAGTCTGGTATCCTGGTGCATGCATCATAGTAAAAGTTCCATATGAATAGTGACACCAAAAGAGATCGAATTTTGCCATTAAACCATATAGTTATACCTTATAGTTTTACGGGGATATCTTAACATTTACTGAACCTTTGGCTTTTACTGTCACATTAATGCTGTGTGTAATTAGTTTTTTGGTCACAATTAATAGATATCTTTTTAAGACAGAAACACAAAGAATTTCTTGTCAAAGTACATCGTTATGTTCTTTTTTCCTATTCTATGGACGTCTAAAAAGTACAATTATATGAATGATTTACCGTTATTGTCGATAATTAAGCGAAGGCTGGTGTTCGTCGGTAGCATGTTGTAATTGTACTCAGAGCGTCTGCAAGAAATTGTCAGATTGTCGCCATCTTTGTAATAATAGATCCCGTTTTCATTTTGTGTTGAATTACGGTTACCATTGCTGATAGTTACTGAGAGAATATCTGCAAAAAAGTTTTGAAATAAAATTACTGTTGTTAGTATATAAACCCTGTACGTGTTAATTTATATTTTCTATGCCTATATACTATATATAATCCGCTTTGGGACCTATACGTAGGCCCCGTTAGGAATACTGGAAGGATTGGTTTTATCCAGAAAGATTATATTATGTGCTTTACAACAAGCGCATTGGGGACCTACACGCGGGCCCAATTAGGAATGCTGGGTAGGTGTGTTTCAGCTATTAAGTTTATGTATGTATTAAGAACAGTAATATACGTCTGTAAAGAAGGAACATTTGTTATTTTCACCAAACTGCACAGCAGCTTGTTGGCGAAGATTAGCACTCATTATTTTGTACACGTATATACCTACCTACTACTACAAACGTCTGCGAAGATGGAAAACAACAATTTGGGACTTAAAATAACATTACATTTACTATCACATCACCAGCCCTTTTACGTCCCCACTGCAGGGGCTCAGGCCTTCCTTATGGATGGTTAAGGAGGATGGGCCATGACCATCCACGCTGGCCCAATGCGGATTGGAGGGTAATTGGAGTTCTCAGAGAACATTTACTATACTGTTGACTAATTATTTAGTAAGACAGCTTTTAATTTTCTTTTAATAATAGGTTTACATAACTTTTTATCTTATCTTAACAAACTTAATTTACGAGTATTACACAATTCCGGAACTATATACTTTGAACGTCTTTTACCATAGTAATTAATTATTAACGGTTTAACAAACTTATATTCCCTAGCCCTTTTTTGTATTTTATCTATTTTTAACGTTAATTTTAAATTTGTCACTATAATAATTTTCTATTGATATCATATATTTTACTTTATCTTCTACTGGTAATATTTTACAGAATGGGAAAAACATATCGTAATTTTTGTAACAGTTCCTTTTAATTCCTGTTGCTAACTAAATTATTAATATCCTTCAAATAAGTAGCGAATGTACGGCCATATACGTTATAATATATGAAGTGTATAACTTTTTTATTTATACCGTAATTAAATTAATAAAATTTACTCAATATGGATCTCAATCTTAGACAAACGTGATACACCAGCGATTTCCAATTAAAACGTCCATCTACTGCCCAGCCAACACAGCTGAATAAATTTTGCGTAAAAGCAATTCTTTTGACTTTAAGCTGGATAAAGTATTTGTATAACTTCTGTGTAAGCACTTATACAGATGATATTCAAGCAATTTGGGTACAAAATATCTGGCTTCAATTTGGATAACATTTGATTAATAGCTACATAGCAGCTGAATAAATGTTCAACACACTGAATATCTTCTGTATAAATTCTGTTTTTTCTTTAGTCCAGAAATAATACATCTCTTATGTAGTTGTTAATTTGTGAGTTCAGACATTCAAATGGTATTCACAATTCCGATCTCAGTGGTAGTTGTACAAAGAAATTATGCAAGTAAAAAAGTATAAATGTATTTTTCATTGTGACGAGATTATTTTGTGTTATTTACTTCAAAATATTGTGTTGTAGTGTTATAGAAAAGTTGTATATTTTTTTCAGAAACATGTTCAAAATCGTTTCGACTTGTAAAAAAGACCGAGTTGAATTATCAACAGTGCCCGCTTCTAGGGAAAACAAAGGAATATTTTACTGGCCAAAAAAAAGGCGAGCTGCTTTGCAAGAACCCGAGGAAAGCTGAGGAAGAATAATTATTTCAAATGTTGAACAGAACTGATACGGATGATACGGAATTAGAACAACATAATTTTTTATTTATTGAAAATACTAATAATATTTTTTATTAAATTCTGATTAAAAAAGTTTTATCACAAACACTGCAGTCTGCAGCTAATTCGGACGTAGTTTGCGATGGGTCTTTCCACAATAGCCTTCAATTCTTCTTATTAACTTTGGTCTCTGGCCGTCCATGGGGCTTGTTCTGCAGGTCGAAATTTCCAGAACGAAAACGTTGGAACCAATAACGCACTGTGTTTTCTTTTGCGACACAACCGCCATACATATCACTAGCCCTTCGAGATGATTCCGCTGTACTACTATACCACGGTGGAACTCGTACTCGTAAATAACACGATATTTCAAGTTTTCCATTTTTATACTGGGTGACATAAATAGGACAAACAGAAAAAAAAATCAAATGAATGCCTCCTAACGAAACACAAATACATGTGTAAATGGCTCTATAAATTTGAATTTGGAATTCCCAACCAAGGAGGAGAAATTTGTGATTAAAGTGTCCAGTACGAGAAAACGCCAATTTCATATGTAATATTAAGAATTATGGTAATATTTTACATAAATATATTATTTTTATTAAATATATACTGTTATAGTACATTACGATATTAGTGCGTTATGATGGTTATGGAGGCTCAATTCCGCCTCGCATGTTATAACTAGGCTTACCATACGTCCCGGTTTGACCGGGATTGTCCCGGTTTGAGATCCCTGTCCCGGCGTCCCGGCCGGTCTGCATTGGCGTCCCGGTCAAACTTGAACAACACCGATACCCCGGCCGATCGTTCCCTCGCGCCATTCACCCATTTTCACAAGCAGCATATTGAGAGGCCAAATTTAAAAAAAATTGTCTAATTTGCTATGTGTCTACCCGGTTCTTCAGAGCCAGTGGAAAGAATTTTTTTACAGATGAAAAAAATGTGGTCTGACGATCGGGGGAGGATGGAAGAATGCGTTGTGGAAGCCTTGCTTACGTGCAAACTCAACTTGAACATGTCATGCAGTGAATTTTATGACAAAATTAAGCACGACAAAACGATTCTGAAGAAAGTGCACTCTAGTGAAAAATATAAAGCAAGCGTGGGTGAATAATAAAACTGGGTAAAATTTTCAGTGTTATTTGTATTAATTGTACTTTGTCTCTTTATCTTTTTTAATAAAAAATATATTCACATTTATTAATATGTTTTCAATCCATAATAATTTTGATTGTATTTCAAATATGAAAAACACAAATTAAGCGAAAAGCAAAATGAAAATGAGCCTCTTTCTCTTCTGCGTCCCGGTTTGGCTCTTCGTAATTATGGTAAGCCTAGTTATAACCAATACGCACGTATATCGTACGACTTTTTTAACACATTTGCGAGGAAACAGAAAAAAATCATTTTATATTATGTTCATTTTTAATTATTTAAACAGTTAGTGAAATTACAATTATTAAAATGATACGTAGTTGTAGTTGGTTTTTTAATTATATTATTATTATTATTATTATTATTACTATTCATAGTGTCATTGTTTTGTCTTAGGGTTGGAGAAATTTTGGAGATGACGAAACTTCTTGAAAGGCGGCAGAAGAGCATTAGTTGTAAATAAAAAAATATTATCAGTAGAAGTAGAGGGGCGCGGCTCAGGGCAAAACTTCTTCGTTTGTGGCTCCAAATTTATTGCCTGAGTTATTTTGGCACTTATATTTGCTCTGTTTTGGATGGAATCTTCTACATAAGATTCTGCTACTGCGTTAAAACGCCACCCGCCATGCCGCTTTAAAGTCAATATATCAGCTCCCGAATCAGCAAGTAATGTAGCTGACGTTCTTCTGAAACTGTGCCCTGTATACCAATCAGCATCTGGCAATCCTAAACACTTGGCGACTTCCTTTGGCATGGCACCGAATTTATTTATGCCAATAGGTTGCGCAGTACATTTACCTTTTTGGTAATTTTGAAAGAAATTATTATTTTTTGCCTTAGTCGTACGCAGAGCTTCATATTTTTTGACCACGTCATAAAATGGGCCGTCGATAATAAAAAATAAAAAATCGGGGTATTTTGTTTTTAGTGTTTGGGATTTTAACTAAAAGCATTTTGTCTTTCAATGTCATTTGTGGTAATATTGTGAAGCTCTTGCCGTCTACATGCACCATAAATACCAAATATTAACGCAACCTGAAAAGAAATAAAAATGTGTTAGATAAGGTATAGGTACTTAGCTTAGTAGGTAGATCAATACATAAAATAAGGAGGCAAACTGACCTTTGTAGCCAGGTACTGGCTATCTGAAGCATCTCTTAGAAACTTTTAGACGTCATTTGATGACAGTACCTTAGATTTTTTCTTTATAAACCATCAGAGCGTCTCTTTAAAAATGCAATGAGATTTGAATATAAATTAATATCGACACCATTTTTCATCTTGAGGGTACTTTTCAGCATAGAATATGTTGTCCACAACGAGCTAGGCTTATATATACTAGCTAGTTCATTAAAATACGCCAATAAATAAATTTTCATACGTAGTTATGTATCTGTCTCTGGATATTGACGGCAGCAAGCTGTCGCATGCGGTTCGCGCTTCTGTTAGTATATCCAATGGAGTTGAAGTAATATATTGCTCTTCTTCATTATTGAAAGTTGTCATTTTTAGATATGCACAATACAAGTACAAAGAAAGAAAATTTGAGAAAAATGGCGCGAGGATTATTTTCTGGCGTAGCTGCGTGAAAATGTTGGCAAAGACGAGCATGCAGCCAAGTTTTTCAATTAACTGTTATACGAATAAACTGTTTTTTTATTATTTTAAATAAACTCAATCTGTGAATGATAAACTCAATCTATGACACACTGTTGGTTTGCCGCCATTTTAACAGCGCGCTAGCGCTGCCTACTGACTGGCGCCGCGCGGCGATTAGTTCGAAATTTTAATAGCAACAGCGCGCGAAATGGCAAATAATACTGTTATGGAATTTCTATAACTTAACTATTTGCTTTGGTAACACACGCGTTTTTTATGACCCGCTTTAGACATTTAAAACCGGTGGAATTACATCAGCTTTACGAGCAAAGGTGTTAAAAAATATGATTACTTACTTCTCTTAGAGTGTTGGTGACCCGCTACGCAAACCTTTTTGGCATGTTTATTTTCTAAATTCTCAGTTTTTAAATAAATGTCATTCATACTTTTATGACTTACGAAACAAATGTAAAACTTCAGTGTGAGAATAATAATATACGGCTGTGACGGTGTTTTCGTGGTTTCCTTTAAAATAACCTGGTAGCCAGATCTTTATCTTTTTCATAGAGGTTACTACAACACGGTATGTTTTTACCTTTTGACAAGTCGTCATTTATCCTTTTATACTCGTAGCACGAAATAGTAAAGTTTTTTCCGATATTACGATATTATGGAATTTAGATGACTAGTGTTGCCCAAATGCAAGAACAAGACGAGACTTGGCCAGTCTTGGTCTTGGTCTTGCGCCAATACACCCGGTCTTGGTCTTGCGCTCCCAGTCTTGGTCTTGGTCTTGCAAGTATTGCAATTACCTATTAGACTATTGCTATTTATTAAAGTTTACTTTAGATCTTAGGAATTAACATAGCCATAGTAAAGAACAATCAGATTAATAAATGTCTGAAGATTTGATAAAAAATTCGATAACTGCCACATAATCCGCATAGGTCCAGTTTTTCATATTCTTTGATACAGTTTTTTGTGTCTCATAGAATTCCTAAGCGTACATATACACCGAACTGTTATTCCTAACTACTCCGTGAAATAGCGCTAAGTCCTAGCTGCAAGACGCAAGAGTCTTGCGGGATTAGTCTTGTTCTTGCTCAAGTCTTGCATGGTCAGTCTTGGTCTTGGTCTTGCTAAAAATACGCGGTCTGCAAGACCAAGACTGAATTTGGGCAACACTAGATAACTCAGTATCGGAATTGTAATACGGGAATTTTCGTTCCGAGATTCCGATATTACGATATTCCGAGATTCCGATATTCATGCCCTACAACTGACATTATGAAAAGTATACAATGATTATAATGTATAAATAAATCTTAGAGTATATAAATACTGTAAGAAAGAGTCTTTATACCAATAATTTTGCCGTCATACTTAAACATTGAAAAGTATTTCAATACCTAATTGAAAAATTAAATAGTTTTGCTCATTATATTTCAAAAAATATGTACTATGTGTTGAAAACCAAATTAAACATAATTTCTTTAGTTTCGGCCTTTATAAGAAAGTCGAACCTCTATATGGCATCTTCTACCGAAAAGAATCGGCAACAAACTCAGTGAGGGCTGCTATTTTCTCCCTATTTTATTATGATACGGAGATATAAAATTACTTTATTAAACTACGAAGTCATTTTTCATCACAATATAAAAAAATAACTCATTCATGAATCGATTTACACGGCGTGTCAAAAAAAATTTTTGACGAAAGTGAAGTAGCCTTAAGCAATTTTAGCAACACCGGTTTACGAGCTTATGTTCACTTATCGCCTCGCTCGAGTATACTGTTTTATTTGTCTCAAATAAATACTGAATTATTGAATTAATAATTTTTTATTTAGGTATTTCATAATTTCAAGTGCAGTCGCATCTATGAGCAATCTGTCATTCTGGCATCTCCAAAGGCAGGCTGTCAAGTCACTCTATATTATTTTTAATAATCTATTTGGGACCTAGCCCATACAACATATACTTTAGGGAATGATGTAACGACCCGATCCACACATGGCTACGTCCATAAGTTAGGCGGTCGCGCCCCAGATCTGGCAATGGCACCTATGAGAAAACCATTTAAGTCTTTTATTTGCATTAAGTATGCGTGATGTTTGTTACACCAAAACTCAAAATATCACTAAAATGCATGAAATAAAAACTTAAAAAATGGAACCCACTTCAAATTAATACTAAAAAGTGAAAAATAATACTTATCTTAAAAGCGGTTAAATTTTTTAAGAAAATTGAAGTCTGGCGGTTAGTATTTAACTAACTACAGAAAACCTCAGCACGACTTCAATGTTCCTTAAAAAATGTAACCGCTTTAAGAAAGTATTATTTTTCCCTTTTTTTAAATTTGAAGTCGTTTCCATTTTTTTCTTTTTGAGGTATAAAACCATAATAGTAAAAACCAGTCCACAAGCTCATTTTAAACTGCTTAAATAAATTTATATTTTGTTAGAAAGCTTAATTATAATAGTAATCACTTACATTCAATAGAAATATAAATCGAACAGTTTCTTTGTATGAACCAATCGTTATTCAACTGAATGCTTTTTGGAGTCCAAATGTCTAAACTGGTGTAAAATATACATGTCCAAAGCCCTTCATATTTGTCAGATGCTACAAACACCTGAAATAACATTTTCTTTATCATTTTATCATAATCACATTTGTACTAAATAATAATTTTATTACGTAACATAAACTGCCGGTTGCACAAACGTCGATCAAAATTGTCATTAGTTTAAAGCATCATGAATATTCGTATTCTCCGAATATCATCACGACATTACATAAAAAATTAGGAGGTATTAAAAAAAAGCATTAGTTCGTGAAATCAAACTAAAAGTCGCTACGGTACTTTCTTGATTTCTCCATGATAACCCTTCCGGTTTTCTTTCATGTATAAAAGCAAATTAGTTTTCAAAACTCAATAAACAACTCATATTCTATTTGTTCTTTTTCGTATTTGTATGGATATCTAAGTTTCATACTTTGCAAATTTCAGTTTTATAATATGTTAGTTAAAATGAACAGAAATGACTATCTTTGGTCGATTCGTTTCCTGCAAAAATCGACTTTTGCTAGAGTCGCCATCTAGTGGAGGTGATTTTTAGTGCTTCCTTTTTTTTTAATACTTCCTCATTCTTAATTTATCATTAAAAACTACTTTTTGAACAAAATATTGTCAATGGTTAAACTTCACTGCTTACATCTTTTAGTTAAAAAATAACATTACGTTTTATTACTTTGTTAAATTACTCGTATTCACCGTCACCATTTTATAACAAAACTGACAACGTGATTGACATAGCAATGGATAGATATTTATATTATTAATACGGCGTATTTAACCTCATCTGCAGTGCTATACTGTTAAAAACGCAGCGTCGAGCAGCCTGTTAACAATACAGATTCAGTCAAATAATTAAGTTTTATTCGATGATGCATTCGGCGCTGTATTTTAATAACAGAGTAGCAAAGCTGGTGAATCGACTTCATCTAACACAGACACCGATAATTATATTAGTAAAATAGTAAGCTGAATAAAATGTGAAAATTTATCTAAACGAAAATGTTTTGAACCCTGAAAGTTAACTTTATATCGTTGCCCTGGCCTTACACGAAAGTGCATTGCGGTTTTATGAAATAAAAAAATATATATTATGGTACTGACATGAGAAACTTTGAGTCTGTGTGGATTATACTGAAGATACAGTGTGTCGCCATTCTGTAGTTTACACCTGAAACGTTATGCGAATACATAATTTTAATAATAATGCTGCCATTATTTTTTTTAGTTCTATTTTAACTATTACAAGCACTTGTAAATGGCAATAAATTATGCTATCGGTTTGCAAATGTACAGCGTTAGCTCTTGCTTTGAGAAAAGCTGTCAGGAGTCTTAGCAAATGCTGCTTTATTCTCCCTTTTTATTCATAGAAATATCTGTGACTGAATATTAAATGGAAATGGACTGAAGTGTCATGAGTATTACCATCATTTATTTAGGGGTGAGGCCAAAGTGCAACTTAATGGTAACCTTACTTTATTAATAACTTGCCAGAATGCTGGCAAACATAAAAAAAATAATGACATAAAAAATACATTAAAATTATAATACTTTAATGTATTTTTTTATGTACATAAAAAAAGAATTTTCTCATTATTTGATGTCGTACCTACCTATTGGCAACTTTAAACAACTATTCACTGGTAATATACAATATAAACTGGTACCTACCTCCTAATAAACTGGTACCTTTTAGAAAATCTTTCGAGCCTCTGAAGTGTCATATTGACAAAGACATTTGTTTATTTACAATTTTGACCTCGAATTGGATTTCAAACTATAATTATTCCAAACTTTATCAATTTTTTATAAGACAAAAAAAAATTGCAGGCGTGGTGAACGCAGAAAAAAACATATTCGATGAACATGTAATACAACTTTACTTTTTTAAGTCGTTTAAAAAAATGCGATTTCAATAACACAATACTGAATTGAAAATAAGTTCAGTAAAACTCGGTAACTTACCAACAATAATATAAATTAGTTTGACTTATGAAATCAATTTTTATTTTTGTGTTTTCTTTTACATCTAACTTATTACCGCATTGGAACATCGGATGAGACCTCTCTTCGCCATTATACACGGTGGTGACATTTAAACTTATATCTGTAACAAAATATAATTATATTTGATCAATTTTGCGTTCACAATGCTATCTTGGAAAATATTCTTGAATGAAAAATGGTTAGAAAATTCCACCAGCCCAGATACACTCAAGTCTCTCTCAAGTCTACTCGAGTCCCAACCTAGAGTGCCTGATACTGATGGATTTTTTAAGCATTTTTCATTAAGAATAAAAATATAATTTTATCTTTAAATCAATAAATTAATTGTAAAAGGTTAGTGAAAAATTGTATTCCTCGTAGATGTTAAAGTTTTGTATGAGCATTTTCGAGAGTTACATAAATAGTATAAAGTTTGGGGGCTGGGTTTGGTGCGTGTTGCCTAAGGATGAGCTTTCTTGCTGGATTCCAGGCGCTTCCCCCAAAAGTGAGGGTGCATCGGAGGTGGTTTAGTGATGTGCTCCCTGTCGGCTGTCAAGCGGCATGTATAGTGCATTATCCTTCCTCGACGATACAAAAAAAGAACGACGATACTGTGTCTAGCCGTTACAAGACTTTAATTTAATTTCTTTAATAACTAAAGTAAAACAAAAACACGTTCAATTTCTATGATGTTGTAATTTATAACACAAACGTTGATTTCCAAAGACGTCATATCAAAAACTTACTTATATTTAAAAATACTTCTTATTCTTAATGCTTAAAATAAAAAATCCACTTTGTTCCTGGCACTCTGAGATGGAACTCGAACCCATGAATTTTCGCAATCCGGGCGACTGCTCTAACCACTGAACTACCCAGTAGCTAACAGGACTGTCGGAGGACTCGCGACTCGTACGCCACCCGGAACGGTCGAAAATCGCGTGCGCTCACAACAAAAAAAAATGTAAAAAGTGGGAAATCCAGCACCTACATCCAAGTACGATATATCATAAATAGTGAAAAAGGACACGTGTTTAGTGATAAAAATAGTGGTTTTTATCTAATAACTGGATGAAAACGAAACGGATTTCAGTGATTGAAACGTCATTAGACACGCAATAGCGCAATAGCACAGCAGAGGAGTCGAATGGATCCCCTCGATCTCGAGTGGCTCGAGTAATTCGAGATTTTTGAAATAATCTCTCGCCACGAGGTCGGGGAACCGGAGGACCTGCGCACCAACAGACCAGCGGAGCTCATGGAGGATGTCGTGGATAACAACCTGTAACTTTTCTCCTTTCAGGAGAATTTGTAACGACGGACTCTATGAGTTTCGAAAATTTTAAAACTAAAAAAATGAAATTGACAAAATTTTTGTATCGAGACCAAGGGACCTTTTAAACGGCCCAAGAAGAGACGGCGGAGGCGCAACTTTCGACACATCAACCAACCCCATAGCCCCAGGACATCCGGAGATAACCACGGAAATAGATAAGGGTTGAAAATTCAAAACGTCTAGTATCCGTGGATATCCAACGTAATATTAAAGTATATTTTATAGATAGATTTACGTTATTTATGTGCCAAATTTCAAATTATTACCATATGTAGTTTTATAGTTATTAAATTTTAAAGATTTTTCAACCCCCTTGTATAAAACTTATAGAAGATAGGTACAAACTGAAGTCGAAACTGGGTCCAAACATTATATTGCAGGTTTAACAAACCCAAATTTGACCCTTCTAGCATCCGTACCCGCGATTTTACCCGACGTTTGGTCCCGTCGAGCCGAAATTTTAACCTCTAATAACATGCTCAATTATCTACATATTGAAACGCGGTTTTCGAATTAGGGATAAGCAAAGACCCCTCTAGGCTCTCACAGGACGAAAAATCAGAAAATTTTAACATTGAAAATTTGGCCCGCGACCTTGCACAAACTTATTTTTGGAACGGGATTCCCGTAGACCTCCCCCCCACAACCCACATCGAAATCCCCGCGTTTCTGCGACCCATACCGACGGAGATATAAATTTCCAAAGTTTGGTCGGCCATATTGGATCGGCCATTTTGGAAAACTTAAGATCCCTGTATCTCTGTCAATATTGGGCCCGGAAAATCGGGATTTCTTCTAGATCCCATTCCCAGATCCCCTCCACACATCCGACGGGATGTGGTTTGAATTGGAGGGGTTGAACTCAACCCCCCCATTTTCGAGATGGCATCGGCGCGACCCTACCCTCCTTACACCTCCACTTCGAGACCCGACTTCGTGGGACGAATAGGACCGGAGATACAGCCCTCTAAAGTTTCGGCGGCCATCTTGGATCGCCATTTTGGAAACTTTGAAGGGCTGTAGCTTCTACGCCTTTCGTCGTAGAGGAACGGAGTTTTCTCCTCCCATATCCCCCTGCCAAACTCTATTCGACCCACAGGGCAAATTTGCCCTAGCTCTACCTCACGGGGCAAATCTGACCCCGGAAATAGAAGCGGCAGGACCTCCTCTACCCAAATACCTAAAGTCCCAGTTCCACGCGGTTGATAGTTTCGGAGATATAGGCACTCGTCCCTTTCGGGTCAAAAATTTCACAGTTTTTGCCCTGACTATATCTCCGGAACTATTCATCGTACAAGGGCGTGCAAGGTATCATTAGATAGAGATCCGAGAGTACTATAAACCGGCGTGAGTCACGACAAAGAAGTTCCGGAAATTTAGAAAAAAATCAAGAAAAACAAGAAAGAGCTTGTAACTTTCGGAAAATTTTCGTAAAAAAATATCAAAAATTGAGTAAGACGCCTGAAGACTAGGCGAATTAGAAAATAAACATGCGACCCGGAAATAAAAAGCTTATCCAAGCAAAATTTGACTTTGTATTATAACCTTATTTTACGTAAAATAAACAATTTAATTGACAAATATTTGAGTTTTATATATTTATGACAACGCACCCTATTGGGACGTGTCTTAGGATAAGGTAACCAGAGTAGAGCCCTAAAGTTTTTGACAAATACACACACACACACACACACACACACACAAACCATAATATACGACAAAAAGCAAACACACACACGTATAACATATAAATAAAAAACACTCACCAACACGTCGAATAGTTGACCAATCAGTAGATCTGCAACAGAAGACGACGGCATCTGAAACAAAAAACAAACATTATTATACACACACGCTACAAACAACAAACACATAGACACAAACACAGATACAAAACACAACACGACAAAATTCTCAATAGAGAACCCAACCAATACCCACCCAAGTAGTAGTTTGCTCAGTGTGTCCGTGCTCATGTCATATATATCCAAAGATTTTTTCCTTTTCATATTAATAACACTTGTGTAAAACTCCATTTCGTCTAGATGTTTGAATATTAATGTCGAATTCGGCTTCTCAACACGATAGAGGTATTTTTCACATTCACTCTCATTAACATGCAGATTAGTAGTTAAGTTATGAGCAATACTTTTAAAAAATATATTAAATAAGTTCGCGATTTCTCTCGGATCCGAAGCATATTGACCATTTTCATTTTTTATTGGACCAATTTTACTTTTTTGATGATACCTCTTGTTGTGTCTTAACTGTTCATTTACTATCTTCCACGATTCTTTAATCTTATTACTTGATGATTGTATTCTCTTATTATATTTGAAGTTTTTTGCTACCACCATGACTTTTCTAAGTGCTTTTCTGTATTTTTTAATTTTTAATTTTAATTCTTCACTAGGTTTGTAATTATGCAGTATTTCCATTTTAGATAAATTATTTTTTGAGATTTCTATTCCTTTGATTGACCATTTCTTCAAATTATTTGGGCAAATTGATTTTCTCACTAAAGGAAATGCAACTTTATAACAGTGATTAATAGCATCTTGAAGTATGTCCATTTTTTTATTAGCATCATAACAAATAAGAATTTCATCCTTTAGTCGGCTAACGTCTTTGTTAAATAAATAATGAAAATAGTTAAAGTTAGTTTTCGATAAATTTCTTGTAATTATTTTATTATTTTTACTAGTTGTTAATTTGTCAATAATTTTATTTAGTTGTATTACGTTATGGTCAGATAATTTTCTATTTAATACTGACCCCGTGCTATTGTTCATATTTACTATAAAATTATCTATGCAGGACGAGCTTCTACCTTGTATCCTAGTGGGTTCATTTATTGTCCATTTGCAATTGTAATTTTTTAAAATTAGGTCAAACTTGCTCAATTTGCTGTCTTTCTTTAATACATTAATATTAAAATCACTGGCTATTATAAAGTTTTTGTCCTCTCGGCAAACTCTAGAGAGTAACTTTTTTAATATATCAAAAAATAAATTTAGATCCTTTTCTGGTCTATACAAACATATTATTATTATTTTGGATGGCTGCAACTCAACTGCAGATATTTCACAATTCATCTCAAAAGACATTTTTTTTTGATCATTTCGTAATTTGCATACTAATCCTTTCTTAACATATATTGCAGTTCCGCCATGATCAAATATCTGCCGATATAATAAGCAGCGAGTTCATAGTTTTCAAAATTCATGTACTGTATTTGATAATCTTTTTACCCCATGTTTCCGTTAGACAAAGAATTTTACAATTTGTTTCGTTAATACAATGTTCAATTTCTGTATATTTATTGTGAATACTCTGAACATTCGCGTGAATAATTACCCATTCTACAGATTTACGGGATTTAACGGAAAATCCATACTATGACGACTATTTATTATAGTATCATTTCTATTTATGATTGGTGTGCATTTGATAAATTTAAGCACAGTGTTTGCAAGGAAAGTATGTCCCATATTTGCTATAATTATTTCATTCAAATATTTTTTCAGATGTAAATATTTATTTTTCTGAAACTTTGTTATAATAATGTTAGGGTCTATGTATTTAACTTTTTCACTAAGATTAGCTATTTGTGCTATTTTACTGTTAAGGGTGTATATTATATCATTATTTTTGCCGTCATAACAAAGACCAGTAATTATTACATTAAAAGTTCTGGTCGGATCGTTTACTACATTGTTAATGAGGTGTACATAGTGTTTACCAGTTTTCAGTATTGCTTCATCGTAGTAAGTATTGATTAGTATAAAAGCATCTCCTTCGATAAGATCTTTGCCTTTATAATTAACTTTATCTAAAATGTGAAGGTAACTAGCTCCTGGTTTACAAAAGTTTATAACTTCCTTCAAATCATCAACTTTGTTTCGTATTTCACTGCCTAATGCCTTTCCTACACCATCTGAACAAATGAAAACCTTTTTAGATTTGATTGTTTTACTTTCTTTGTATGTTTCTATCATACTTTCATGGTATGTCCGATTTTGAGTTTGTATGTCTGATTTGAAATCGAACTTCATTGTTGCTTCCATTTCTGCTATTTTATGTTGTAAGGTGAGGTTTTCTTTGTTGACATTTCTAAACCTTGAAGCCAATTTATTTAATTTTTTTAATAAGCGCCGAGTTTGTTTCAGTAGTTTTTTATTCGATTTTCTTTGCTTCCGGCATCTTATAAGTAAAGTGGAGGTTTTATTTTGTGGTAAAGGTGACAATTTACTTTTGTCATTTAGATTTACAGTTTTTTGAGGTTCAATGGAACAAATTTTTAACTCATTACTTAATGTCATCACAATTTCATTATCTACTTTAGCTGATTTCGTAAGGGAGGCAGTCAAACTATCCGTTGTGGGTATTATTATAGCTGATGTTGAATATTCTTCACCGCTACAAAATATTCTAGGTTTTTTCCTTTTTCTTCCCTGGGAAGGAGTACTATGCCCATCACTAAAATCAATCTTTTTATATAACTCTATTAGTTTCATATTTTTTTCGCATGTTTTCCTCAAATTCTCGTTTTCTATTAGTAAGTTGTCTACTTCATTATTGGCTGATGTAAGTTTATTTTCTAGGTCCTTAATCTTTTGATGAAATGCAACGACTGTATCGCTCTGGTCCAACATTGAATTAGGTAGGCTTATTCTAGAGGAGTCAAGTAATGAAGAGCTAGAAAGATCACCAAGATAGTTAGCTCTTTGTTGACGTTGTAAACGAAAAGTTACGTTATCCAGATCCATTTAATTTGGGTTTTCAGACATGTTTAAACTTTCAGATATAGTCAAATAAGAAATATTAAAATATTCAACGAATAATTTTAAAATTACAATTCACAATAGGCTAATTACTAATTTTCCAATAAGCATAAATAATTTAAAAAAATCAATATGATACAATAACAGTTCATTAAATGTTCAATTACAGTTCTTAAATAAAATTATTGTTTGTTAAATTACATACAATATTATTTAAAACGAAAATAAACTAAAATATAATAGTTATTAAACAAATCATCAGTTGGTAGTGTGTTTTTTTCCTTCCTTTCCCTTTAAAAACAATACTTTTTCTTGAATAAACTATAGGAACAGTCTAAAAAGAAATTAATATGTTGTTTATAATACCTAAGTCAAAAGGAAATCAATAAATAATTCTAAATTACAGATAAATCAAAAAAAAATTATTTGTTTAACATAAATAACGTAATTAAAATTTATCAACAATACAAAAATCCAGAAATGGATGATTAAGTGATGCTTATTATGTCAAAAAAAAGAAACAATGTATTCCAAAAACAAAATCCAATCATAAACAATTACATTAAAGTTTGACTATAAAATATTTTACAACAAGAATCATGTTTTAACAAAATTTTTGCTATAGGAAAAGCTAAATAATGAAAATATTATAAAAGTGTTTAAGAATAAAAGACAAAGAAAGAAAACAAAAATAACGAAGACGACGTCCAGTTTCGAACTGCGGGCGGCGGGCTACCTCGCGTTGTCCCATCCAATGCGCCAAACTGACAACATTTGTTTTTTCTAAATTCTGTATGTGTATCCTTGGTTCTGTCGGAGTACCTCTATGAATGTATTACAAAGTTTCTTGCAGGAAAAAAAATAATAATTTTCCTTTTTTTTAAGTTGCGGAATCTATGGTTAAAAGTATAACGCAAATTTGAAATTATGACTGTTTTACTCTGTTTTTATTCCTCCCTGTGTCGTTTCCATTACTTATCGCACCACTTCCTATGTTTTAACTTCACAAAATGTTCACATTCACTGTTTTGTACACTTATATTGACCTTCAAAGTTTTGTGCTGAATTTCAGTGTTAATGTCAAGTAATATTGTTGCAAACACTCTCACTCAATTATTGCACTTCCATTATAACAATTATATTGTCAAACGTTAATAATTATTAGAAATGTTGATTTTCTTTAATAATATTTACGGAGCCGATGTTAACATGACAGCTAACGCCATCTATTCATATATAATAAATAGAAGAATGGAAGAAAATATGAATGTATTAAACGAAAGGATAGGAAAAGAACACAAGGACAAGAAAGAAAGAGATAGAATGATATAACTCCTACAACAGCATGAAAACCTGAATAAAGAACAGTACACGAAAGGAATGAAGGAAATAGAAGGTAAATTGGAAGGAATAGAGACAGCAATAGAAGGGATGAAATAAAGAGTTATGAAAGGGGGAAAAAAAGAGAAAGAAAAAATGTCAAAGACAGAAACAACGAAAGGAGAACTGAAAGAAGATAGTATAATTGATAAAGTAAGAAAAAGTTTAAATAAGATAGTAAGAAAGATAGAAAGTATGGAAGTAGAATTACCGCATAATGTGGCGATGGAAGTCATGGAATGCATAAAAACTGACGAGACCCGAGACAGGGATACCCTTGCCACAATTATCGTTAATAGAGTGGACAAAGTGGAAAGAAAGGTGGTGACGCAAATGGAGATGCGATTGGGGAGCATGGAAGGGAAAATGACCAAGATATTGAACATACCGGAAACGGTAAATTCACAGGTACTATCTTCGGTCATGAATAAACTTGATACTGTCGGGGACAACCTTATTGCGGAAGTCATCGACCTGGAACGAAAGTCAGTAAGAGGAAAAGGAATAGAAGATGAAAATGAACTAGGACAAATGTTGAAAAATAGATTAGGCATATATGAAGAAAGTGTGGTGCAAGAGATAATAAAAAAGATTGATGAAAGAAAGGGAAAAGAAAGAGGAAATATACAGACCGAAGAAGAAAGAGAAAAGTATGACAGATTCCCCTTACTAGAGCGACTGAGAGTATTAGAGGAACATCTGAAAGGTAAAATAAGCGAAGCCGCGGAGGAAATAGGAAAAGAAATAAAAGAAAAAACTAAAGAAATAAGAGAGGAAATAAAACAGGCACCTATAAACCAACAAATGGAAAATACCCCTCCAAAAACTACGAAAGCAACATACGCCGCCATCACCCGAGGCAAAAAACAACTAGAAATGGATACCCTGCACTCAATAGTGTTATCCTCAGAGGATCATATGGACACAGGGGAAATGGTCATAGAGAAGGCAAAAAAGATATTAAACCCAGAAAAACACAGAATAAGAATTGACCTGATCAGAAGGGGTAAGGACGCGAGAGTTATTATTAGGTGCAAGGAAAAAGAGGAAATAACTCTAATAGAGGAAAAACTAGTATCCGGAGGAGGCATAAGAATAGAAAGATTCACCAACAAAGACCCGTTATAATCACTATAAAGAATGTCATATACAAGATGACAGATGAGGAGATAATGACATCAATACTAAATCAGAACCCGGAATTATTTGAAGACACCAACGAAAAAGACCGATAAGTGAAAATAAAATATAGACGCAAAACACGGGACCAAGAACGATGCCATTTAATTCTCCAAATAAAACCTAGGATAAGGAATGCCATGACAAACGTAGGGCATCTGTACCTGGAAATGGAAAGATTGAAAGTGGAAGATCAAACGCCATTAATCCAGTGCATAAGGTGCCTGAAATTTGTTCATGGCAGAAATTTTTGCCCCGAAAGTGCAGACAGTTGCAGCCACTGCGGAGACCTGCACCTGCGGACAGATTGTCCGGACAGGAAAGCAGGGATCCCACCGCAATGCTGCAACTGTGTGCACGCAAAACAGGAACAAACTGATCATAATGCATTCAGCAATGAATGCAGAACAAAAGAAAAATGGGACTATCTGGCCCGTTCCACCACCGCATATAGCTCAAAAACTAAAAGAGGAACAGAACAGACAATCACAAGGTATAAGACACACGCAAACACAAGAAAACACAATAGAACCACACACCCATTAAAAAATATACAGAACAAAAAATACAAAACATAAACATACAAAAACAAATACAATGTAACGTTGTATTTTAAGAATAAATAATAAGAATAAAAATTAAAATAAACATTAAAATATAAGAAATTAAAAGCGTTATTTACAATACAGTGAATAATGAGACAGACACTTATCTAAACAAAATTTTAATTATAAAGGATAATAAAGTAAATAAATTGAGTTGGTTATAAACATTAAATGCAAGCAACGAAGGTTACGTCTCTAATGTGGATGCACATCACTTGAATGTTGAGTTTTTTTCGCTATGTCATTGTTTCGGTGGAGGAGCGCCGGCGACCGCTCGCCGACATACTAATTTTAGACGTTGGACGTGACGGCTGCGTCAATCGCTCTAAATTATTAAACAAATTTTTACGATATTTCCCACTAGGGTGAGTTTTAAGTATTTATCATTCAGTGTTTCATTGTAAGGTGTTTCAGTTTCATTTTAAAAGTCATCTAACACTAGTACTGATCCATATTTCCTGCTTATTGGAACGCTGTGTCCATGGACTCACAAGGTCAACGGTTTTTTCAAATCTGCGTTTCATCTACTAATACTACCCATCTCTCTGAACTTCCAGGAATTACGTACCTTATATAAACCATCCGAGGATGTCACCAGCTTGGTGAAATTGGCTGCAGCTATATATAAAATTTATTAAAAAGGAAAACGAAGCTACTATACCAGTACACATGACTATTACGTATAAACGCTAATGAGTTATTTTTTCTGAATGAGAATTGGAGGACCGTGATCTCAAGTATACCAGAGAAGACGAGGAGTTCAGGCCAGTGTTCTTTCCTACCTTATCTCAATCGAAGTGTAAGGCGGCCACACAAAGAATAATTGGAAATAAATTTATTTTTTTTGATAAATTTGCATTATTCGAACCAACACCCTATCGCAACAAACACACAAACAACACATAAAGCAGAACATGAAAGGCTATATGCCCCGAGGAAAATTCATGAGAATGCAAATCGGCATATTACAAACAAAAGAAACACAAAACAAATTAAAGCATAAGCAAACACCAAATGATTTGGAAAACTTATGCTAAACAGAAAACAAGGAATAGACAATTTGGATATAAGCATAATGATTATGCCATAAAACAAATAACTCATTTAATAAGAGTAATAACAAGGGTAGGAAAAGTTCGGATCACTAAATATATGTTTGCATATATACCCAGTGATCCAAACTATACAGAATAAAAAATTAAAATAGGATTAATAAATAGAAACAACATAAAATACATAAAGCTAAATAGGGATAAATAAAATTAAAAATAAATGAATAAAAAAATAGGAGTAAGCAAACCAAAATAAATATAGGAAAAAAAAGGTGAAAAGTACAAAAAATATATATAATACATATAAAGATAGAAATGGAATAGACTAGATAAAAAAATGTAATAAAATTAGGAAAGCATGTAACATTAGAATAAGTAATAACATTAGAATAATACATAGCATAATAAGACAAAATGTAACTAACAAACTGAAATAGAATTAAGAAGAAAATAAATAAAGAAAAAATGTAACAGTAACAAAGATGTAAAAGGAATACATAAAGAAAAGGTATAAAACATATTATACCATATATGTAGAAATAGACATTGAATATATAGGATAAGAGAAATGTAAAGTAAATAGGATAATTATGTAACAATAGAATAAATAATATAGCATAATAAGACAAAATGTAACAAACAAAATTGAAATAGAACCATATAAGAAATAAGTTGTGTGGACAGAAATAAATAAACAAGTTGTACTTTTATTTAAAGAGAAATAAATAAAATAAAGTAGAATAGGAAAACTAGATATATGTAGATGCGG